ACATATTTTATACCAGGTTATCTTAGGGGCTTTGGTTTTTATTTTCATGTAAAATATTTTTATTTGTACCAAGTGAGTTCATAAATACATTTTTTACAATATGTTGAACAATGCTTTATTCTCAATGGAAGTAGTTCGTTAATATCTAAAGTGCGTATTCTTGTTCGCGTAGTACCAAAGTTGTATTATTAGTTGCGTCCGTATTAGTTGCAAAAGGTCAACGCCTTCTGGCGCCGACCGAAATATTTGAAACCCGGCATTCCTACAGAAAATCACACACAGAAAGTGTGGAGGTAGAGCGTGCTCTACATTCCCCTACTCTCACATACTCGTGATTTTGCATTTATTCGATTAGAGATGCCCATCAATCATGTATAAAATAAAATATCTAGTATCATATATAAACAGACAGTGAAATGTACAAATAAATGGCATCAACATGATGTTGTTTTATGGGAATATACAGTTAGCCGCACATTCTGGCGTCACTCGATGGAACAAATTGTGTTGGACATGATGGTGATTGATGACTATTCGATATAAGACGCCCGCTAAAACCGGTGGAAAGAGGTGAGTGATCTATTCCAGCGCACCGATTTTTGCTCGTTTTGTGCAGCACCAGCGCGCGTCACGACCTACGTGACCACAGCACAGGCACGTTTGAAAAGCCAGATCAGACGCTGGTCGCCATGTTGCATGTTGAGAAATATTTTGAAAGTGGCATAAAGTTACAATTTTAAATGGTGGCCAACCAAAAATAACACTATGAAGGCCTAAAAGATGCGATGTTTAAAAGAAATGCTTTACATATTTGTTTGAATGAATTGTAACAAGGAAATGATTTTGATGACTGACTGTAATTCAAATTCTCGCTAATATTGTGACGGAAACTAGTGCCTGAAGCGCATTGGCAGAAGTGGGTTACGAAACGCAATAACTCACCCATGTCTTTCCACCGTGGTTGGAAGTACGGGCTCCGCTATCACTTCGACTTCCAGTTAGCACATGCGCAGAGGCTCAAAATTGGTATATACTATACTTCGATTTTTTTGTAGTGGCCAATGTCATTATGTCATTATTCACCCCTGCTTACAAAATAAATATTATTAACAATTGTGAGCACATTTCTGAGGTTACAAGTCCTGTTGGGAAGGACGTTCACGAAAAAATTTTTAAAGCAATTATATAAGGCAGGAGGTGTAACAATGACCTAATACTAAAACAATGACCTAAAACTGTATGACCTAAAACTAACAATGACCTAAAACTGTACAAAAAATCGACGTATAAGATGCTTCACGTTGTGCAAAACTCTGTATTGATCACTTCTGCAGGTGACGTGAACCACCCATAAATCGTATTTTGGTTGGTTAATGCAATCGCACACATTCTTCGAAATTGTCAGTTCTTCGCCAGGAGAACGAGATGCGTCGAATGATGAAGAGTTCCGACCGTGAGTAACACACGTAAACATACAGGTTTCTCGATAACTGAATGTACTTTTATCTTCACTTGCCATACCGAGTCTACAGGATGTATCTGTGATTTTTAAAGCTCAATTTTCAAACAACTTTCTTAATATTAATAACATTAACCATTTATTTTTTATTTGTTCTAGTTAGTACATTCTGGGAGAAATGGTTTCAAGATCTTTTACTCTGAAAAAAATAGACTGATCTTGATAGTGCTAATGATATTAGCAACAAAAAAACGTAATAACATGCGATAAAACAGCGGCAAACATTTAGTTAAGTGCAAAACAACTCATTTAGGTCGTTTGGAAGCTTCCTCTTTGGAGTAAAAAGATATCTCTTGCGAGCAAATGCTAAAATAATTAAAAACACTTCTACTGCAGTCATTTTAGGTTCAAGAAAAAATGTTAAAACTACGTAAATGCATGAATTGGCTATTTCGTAATTACACTTTATCTATTACTATTAGTCAAAGGAGTTCTACATACTGAAAAAATTCATAATTGTTTTGTCCTGATGGAATGAGAATTATGTTTTATGTCGCCATGAAAATAAGCAGACACACATAATAACACAAGACACAAAATCCAATAACAGCTGGGATTCCTCCTCCCCTCACCCAAATGTAATGAAAGGCAATAAACTTACGTAAATTATTAAAGCAACTTAACAAAACCATGCGTAAAAATAACACAAAATATACAGATATTTCATTAAAATTTGGCAGACTCAGTTTACAAGCAATGAAATTTCTTTTGAAGACGGACGCAGCGACGAAGACAACAATCACAATAAAAAGACAATAATCTTACTACAGTTTTTATGTCTTTAAAACATTTGTGGTTCTCTCTCTTTCCCTCCCTCCCTCTCTCTCTCTATCTCTCTCTCTCTCGTTCTCTTTCTCTCTCTCTCACACACACATCTCACACGCCCATCACACACAAAAGACTATCAAGAGAGGAACTTTCTTAAATAGCGATCGCCAATCTTTCCGTACAGGAATCTGCCCTTATTAAATACGTACTTTCAATTACCAAGCATAAAGCGAATGAAAATAAATTTGTCAGACATCCTAAATAATGCATTTAGTATATTCAAGAAAAATTGAATAAATTGCAAATAATAACATTAAGACCCGTTTTCTCTTTACACGAATGCAGAAACCTGTAATTTATCGGTGCAGATCTAAAAGGCATCAAGGAAGATCGAATCGAACTGAATCTTTGCATGGTTAACGCATAGGAACGCTAGTATTTTCCAATGTCAAACTCCCAATAGCGAGTGGCGTCCAATCTGTGCTCTTCCTGGCTTGCAAATATCCGTAAAATTGAGCGGTCGACGGAGCTCTCTTTGATTTCAAAACTATTTAATACATTGAAATTTTGCAGTATCTTGAGTATAGAATGTCAAAAAACAAAAATATAATATTCCTATTATACGGCTAGTATTTTACGATTATCAGGAGGAGGGGCAAAAGTGCATCCTAAGCACGAGCCGCCACTGAGCATATACATATTTTCATCGTCGTTAAAGAAACAATACTTAACTGCCTTTCTAACAGATTTTTTTCTTTTTCGATCTCTGCTGCGAACGGCCATTAGTTCTTTCCAATTGGTAGTGTTGGAAATGCAATATAACATGTGTCAAATTCCATACTTATTAAATGGTACTCATAATGTCAGTTATGACAAAAATTCCAAGATATCAGGGGGATCAAAGACATTAGTTTCGCGGTATTGTTTCTTCAACGACGTTATGTTGCTTTTACCTTATTGTTGATTACCTTATCCAGTCTCATCTTCATCATAACACTAGCGTACGTACCTCACGTTGCCGGAGTATTTATCACAATAATTTATTAGTCAGGAAGAGGTATTCCATCTATTCCTGCT